ATATCAAAGATTAAGCTAATAAAAAACCAACTGGCATTGTCGCCAAAGTTCAAAAAAAAAAAAAAAAAAAAAAAAAATATATATATAAATTATTTAAATATTAAAAGTTAATTTAATTAATTATAATGTTTATTTAAATTTATTTACTAATTCTTTACTTTATAGAAAATAATAATAGGACAATTATAATTAAGAATAGTAATAATAATAACAATCTTGAATCTCTTAGTAATAGTATTATTAGAAATAAAATAACTATTGATATATTATAAGATAATAGCATTGTTAAGAATAAAAAATATATATTGTATAATAATAGTATAATTGATGAAGAACATATTGTGCAACAAAGAAATTCTTGGAATAAAAAAGAAAAATAGTGTGCATCAGATTCTAATATTAATTTAAATAATAATTATACTAATATAAATATAATTTAATTAATATTTAATTGTTTACTATAACATTATTATATATTAATAAAGGCTAACTTTTATTTTTTATATTTTAATAAATAGAATTTATTATATCGATATGATTTTATAAACTTTGAAAATGTTAATTTTGATATTTTATTAGATGAAATATTTCAAAAAAACTATAAATCATATAAAAAATTGTCTTAATCTAATATGATTATTGAAGATTTTACTCAAAAAAAATTACAACAAGCAAATTGTTCTTATATATTAATTGAAGATTTAGACCAAGAAAGTTATATATTAACTAATAATCAATCTCATGCAAGCTTTGATAACTATAAACAATTATGTAATAAAGCAGTACAACAAGTTAAAAAAATCATTAATTAATTTATAGTATTATGGAAAAGCATTATAAAACCAAATATATTTTAACTTTAAATATCTCTTAAACTATTTTTCAAACAAATTTGACTAGAAAATTAAATTGTATTTAGTATTTTTTAAATAAAATAATAATTTATTAATAATATAGAGTATAATTTGCTTATGAAATATATTCTTAAAAACATATTTTATAAACTTTATTATAAAAAATTTATTAAAATATTAATAAACTTTTATATATTAAAATTTTAAAATTAGATTTAAAAATTTTTATTATTAAAAATTTTTTAAAATTTTTTAAAATTTTATATGTTTCTGAAGATAAAAAAAAATTTACACTTTGTACAGTCTAAATTTTTATAAGTAAATTGCAAAAGTGTTACTAATAAAAATTGTTATTCTTTATATAAACTAAAATATTGT